GACCTTAGATTGATAGAAAAGAAAATTAAAACTTTAATGCCAAAAAAATATATTTAAAAAAATCATATAAATATTGCTATATCTGAAACGGTGTTATAGATGATCTATGACGAACTTCGCAATGTACTGACTGAAATATCGTGTTCCGAAAGTCCTTATCTGTACTAAAATCGAACCGACACAGCCTTGGTACAATGAGATTCGGCTTTGACCGCATTGATCAAATGGATGTGTGCCCATCCACTAAATCACCAGCTGCCATTGGCTCACGGCTGCTCACAATATCCTTTTCCATCTGGTATTAACCCGATTGGTTGCCACTAATTAATTATCAACAGGCGAGTGATCTCATTGGCTGCAAACCTGACCTGATTATTCGATTGGCGGCCCCTTTCCTCCTCCTCGCTCCTCCTCTAATTGGGTTTAAAACTCATTGGATGGCTCTCTCCCTCTCTCTCAACCTGGAACTGTTTTATTAATAGTTGCTAATTGGAAGATTTCAGTGTTGAATGCTTGTAATTGACAGATCCGATATTCCTTTGATATATTGATGTATACTCTACCTACAGATTGAAATCCGACTACCAAACCGGTACGATAACCCATTACTGGATCCTTGCCACCACAAATTAATATATCTAATCCATGTATATTTACATGTACATGTTGGCCAGTAGAAAGATCAGGAGATGGAAGGCGCTTGTAAGAGGACCTGAAAGAAGTGTATAGCAAAGAAAGAAGAACTGGCTGCTGGGAATAATTCAAAAAGATACATAGACATGGCAGACAACACCAGACACAAAAGCAAATACCTAAAGACTTCTCTATATTCGCTCAAACAGCTAAGAGATAATATTCATTCTATAGCTATTGTTTTAAATCTGTGTTGGCAATCTAGAAAATAAAAGAGTGATTAGTCATGCCTACACCAGCATCCTCAATACAATATTCTAAATGTATTTAGAATGTTTAAATCGTAGATAACTAGATTTAAACTGGATGTGTGACCTTTTTTCCCCCACCCCACTATTAAGATACATAAATAGCTGTAAGTAAGTCGGTAAAACGATACTTTTAAGAAATAAATCTAATGTGAAGTTCTGTGTTATTACCTCACTATAACCAATGTCCAAGTGACAGAATGTTGTTATGTACAATAAATAAAAATGAAAAAAATATGAAGTTTAAATCAATGTAATATATACCAGCATGGGGATTTGCGGTATCTTATTCATATTAAATATATAATTAATATATTTTAAATTAGGTAGGTTCAATTTAAAATATAAAATATCTAAAATACTAAGTAAAACAAATAATTTGAAAATATTAACATAATAAATGTAGTAAAAACATAGGATAGCATTATGCCAGAATAATAAATTAAATCAATCTTCAATTATTAAAATAAATCAAAAAGTAATAGAAATGCGATAACTTAAATGGTTAGTAGCAATACTATAGAATAATCATTAAGGGTCTGAAGTAGGTTTCATAAAAAGTAATTGTAAAGCCAAATTGTCTAAATTTATTTTTGATTTATTTTAACTTCTGAAAAGAGTAAAAACTTTGCGCATATCAATTAATATAATTGTTGAGATTAATGCAAAATAAAAAAACTGCGATCATGAACATTTGGAATCTAGATTTTTTAAAAAGGGAAATACGTGTTTCAAGGGCACCTGAGTCCAAGCCAGACAAAATAGTGTTTCATGTGACTGCATGCATGTATGAAGGTGAACAGCATAGCTCAATTACGTGTGATATTGACATTGCATATTAAGGATAGGTTCATGTTTGAGATATAACGTCAAATTGTTAGCTATAGTTAATGAAAGTGCCATTTTATATTGTCCGTATTGAATAAACCCGGCATATCGATGTAAAATTAAGTTTTAAATATCAGTTAGATCTTAAATTAAGTTTTTAAATATCAGTTAGATCTTATCCACATTGAAATTTCCTGATAGGCTAAATAACTCAAAAATAACTTTAACTTTGTTTATTAAAAATAATTAAAGATTTTTCAGTTGGAAAGGCTGAAGATACTGGTAAGAATAACCTAGAAAATTATGGGCCCAATCTAGATTTAAATCGGCTGTAAACTTCGGAGAAACGATCGAATTCACAAAAATGTTTAGAAAATCCAGGAGAGAGGCAATATCAAATAAATCATTACAATGAGGTGATATACTAATTTGCAATGCAATATACTAATTTTATCCAATGTCTAATAAAATAAATCGTATGACATGTGAGGCTGCAATTGTACCTGACTCAATATCTGATTTATTTTAGACTTTATTACGTATACAATCTGCCACTTCCATTAAAATCTTAGTGACCAACTTAATTTTTTATTTAGAAAAGCTCCTTTAATGATGCTCAAAGGTTGAAAAGGCATGCTCTAGAGGCATACCACTAGATAGAGAGAAAGTAGATTTGATCTTCAATATTCATGCGTCACCTTCCACAGTCAATGGAATAAGCGTGATATTATTTATACAATTTTGTTTTACTATTGTTTATTACCGTAAGCTTTTACACAGTACAATCTTGATAGTCCGACATTTATAAATCCGACAAGTTCGAGACAATCAGTGAAGAGTTGTCCGGTCAGAATGGGGTGAAGTGGGGTGGAGTAAGGGGGGACGATGGTTTAGCGTCACTGAATATTCATCATTTCTTCTTAAAACGTTTTCATAAGTTAAGATTATGTTTTCTTTTTGTTTTTTTTTAATAAAGAAGTATTAATAAAAAAAAAATTAGCTTTGACCTGTTTCTATCTCAGCTCCTTTTTCTCCCGCCCTTCATACCCTGATTGGTGTATATAACGAGGTGACAAATTAATAAAAGAAACGGCAAGTAAACGAAATCGTTTAAATGAGACCCTAAAAAGTCCAAAATATTTGATGTATAAGATTTTTTTCGTATAAATATTTCAATATTCAATCACCTATAACGATTTTATTAAAAGAACTTTTGTATACATTTTACCGTAAATATAAATTACTCATATTGTTAAGTGATCAACACTACAAAAAACATTAAAAAACGACCCTATAGCCTCAGCATTATTTTATTGACCATTTTGAACACAATTCCCGCACGGTTAAATCCAAGTTGCAGTGGAGAATAAACAATCAAATTGATTTATTACTCTAATCACCCTTGTTATATTGTACATAGGTGTGAATCTGTTTTATTTATTTTATTATCATTTGGCTTTAATATGTTATTTTACTTATCTTGTATATTACTTTATATTTATTAAATAAATATATATTTATAGATATATACTTTTTTACTTGTTTTTTTTTTCCTTTCCTATATACATATTGTATGAATGAATATTATAGCCCTAGTACCAATACTCTTCAGTGTGGCAGACTGCATTAGTACTCAATAAAAAAAAACACCCTCGTCAGATGAAATTCAATATTGTTAAAATATTTATGAATTAAGCTATAATAATAACAACAGATGTGACAAAATTTAAAGCAGTGAATATAAACAAAGATCTGTGAATTGTTTTTGGACAACTCCTATTCACCCCAATACCCCTAACAAATAAAGATCATGAACGACGAAAAGAAAATTTATTGTCTAAATGAGAGGATATTGACAAATATTCGTAAAAATATTACAAGAATTTAGTCAGGTATTAAAGAGAATTTTTTTTTTTAAATATTGATAAAGATATTTTTAACTGTTTATGTATTTTAGAATAAAAAGTTGGTCCAAAACTTTGTTGTCAATTAACTGTTCATAGAATTAACAAATATAACATTAGGATAGTTAGTTTTCTTACTTTTATAATTTCTTAAGTTTTTAATTAAAGTGATGATGTCTGTTTAAAAGATTTTCGGAATGATACATTATTGCTGCATATAATAAATTTGTATTAATAATTTCTTCAACATCTTCATTGTTATAATATAATATTTTATTATAAGTTTCGACCGTCACATATGAACCTCCATAAAGATTTAGAGGCTATTAAATAGGGTATAGGTATGTGGAGCGGGTAAATAGTATCAAGATAAGACTGCTTTGGCTGAGAAGCTCTAAAGCGGGATTCCATCATAGGGATCTTTTTTGACCATCTCGCCTCTTTTACATCTTTCCCATATCCCTCTCTCCGAATAACCATCATCGCCATCTACGACTCTGTATGGAGATTCGGTCCTCTCTTTATCAAAGGATTATTTTTTAAAATAAATAGCTAAGGGTATAAATATTTTCTTCCATCAACTTGTACTATTTTTCTTTTTTTATAACGGCATATAAAGTTCTACTGAATAACACAGTGTCATTCAAAACAAAAATAAGTATCACATTTATAGTGATCGAGTACTAAAAGATCATATTACAGTCTTCGCGTAGTTCGGGTGTTCCCAACCTTTTTTCAGCAGCAGGTAAATCTATAGGTTATATTATATCTTAAGTGGCAGGCATCGTATTTTTGTTCATTGCAAATTGCAGATAGGTTACTGTTTATAAATTTAAAAAGAAAATGTAAATGGTATCAATAAAAAAAAAAAAAAAAAAAAAAAAAATATATATATATATATATATATATATATATATATATATATATATATATATATATATACATACGTATAGTAGCAGACATCTTGATCATTTTTGAAACTAATGAAATATATAACAGGCGAAAACACCAAATGCAATAATTGCAATCAATTTAAATGTTTTTTTTTTAAATATTAAATTAATATTTTTTCAAACTAAAATTGAAAACCAATTAAAAGCGAAATGGCCTGTAACTAGTTATATGAGTTAAATACAATGCTACCAACAGTTTCATTAATTTTTTTTTACTACCGAAGAAAGGGATTAATCAAAACACTATTAATGATTCGTTTATATTGATAAACGAATTATTATTGAACAGATACAAGCAAGCATCTAAGCAACAGCTTGATAATTTAAATGAGCGTCTAACTTAAAATTATGGAGAATCGGAAAACTTCTGCATTATGAAGGTTTTGGAAGATATCGCACTAGACGGCCAGACTTCATCACAGCTACAGAGGAGAATACTTCAACTCGCTGCCACAAGCATCAACTCGGAGTTCATCCGTATTTTTTTGACTTAAAAATCGGCCCAGTAGTTTCCAGCCACTCCTTTTCTTAATAAAATCCACAAGTTATCATCACCACCCATACATACCTACAAGGTCTATCTACCGACCTCTAGCCTACAGCCTACAGCCAATACTCTCACAAAAACGTCATGTGACTCGTGTGAATACAGTCTTTGGCAATTATATAACGATTAAGACAGAAACCTGATTATCCTCGATTATAATCGTCGACATGACAGAATCTGAGGTCGATAGACGCTCACAAAGTATCGAGATGGTCTTTGCTTTTATTATTAGAAGTACAGACAAAAGGCTTATAAATGCACACAACAATGCCAATTGGTAACTAAGACTAAAGATGGGATTTTAAATCTCAGACAGTGAAAGTATAGGAGGAAACATTCACATCAAATCCGCACCGCTGCCTTTTCGTCAAAGTCAGAATCACAGGCCAGCGTTTTATTATAGACCCAGGAGCAGCTATTTCCCTCCTTCTAGTCCGTACTAGACGACGCAGGACTTCCTCAGACCTCTCCCGCATAGTGGCCAACAACTCTTCAATCCTAACCTATGGTGAATTCTCTAGGGATCTAGGCATCAAGAAATCTCTCCACAGAATTTGTTTGGCAAGGCCAACATACTTCGTGCGAATTTTCTCTACTGGCATCATTTGGCAATGGACCTAAGGAATCATCGAGTCATCGACCAGCATGCAGGACACTGTACGCGAGGCAGTATTTAATCACCAGAAATCCCTGTTTACTCAGTAGCATCTGCTGATTACATGTTTGCAACAATTTTAAACGGATTTCCAACCACCGCCGACGCCCACCTCCAGGCATCTACCAGAAAGTCAAGAAGGAGCTTCAGAACGTAATCAAGTAAGGTATTTGTCGCTCTTTAAAAAGTCCTTGGTCAAGCCCACTCCATGTGTGAAGAAAACTGACTGATGCTTGAGATTATGTGGAGTCTATAGAGCTTTCAACAAACTAAAAATCCCGGACCAGTACGGCATTCTAAACATCAGAGACAGCGCCAAAAAGATTTACTCCAAGATTGACCTACGCAGCGCTACTACCATATTCCCATTGCTGAGACAGATCGGGAAAAGACGGCTATCATAACCCCGTTCGGACTCATAGAATACAACCGTATGAGTTCTGGATTGAAAAAAGCCGGACAAAGCTTCCAAAGATTTATGGATGGCAAGTTACGCTATCTCAGTAACCTATATAAATTTATGGACTTCTTCGCGTCTGAGAAAGAGGAATTACATGAAAATCGCCTCCATGTACTTTTACGACATCTATACCAATACGGTATAACAGTCAATCTAGTTAAATGCATTTCTTTAGTAACAGAGCAAGAATTCCTTGGGTGCCATATCACAAAGACATATTACACCTCTGGATCACAAGATCAAGAAGTAAATTTCTACAGATCTCGCCTACCAAACGAGATCAAAGATACAACAACCTCTTAATGAGTTAACACACGGCCAAGAAAGATACATCGCCCATTACCTGGACTTGAGACACATTAAAAGTGTTCGAGTAGACTAAGAAAAACTTTGTCGCAGCAGTAGAACTCATTCACCTTGATCCTAATGCCGAGATGTCTATAGTTAGTGACGCATCAGATACAGCTATCTATGGGCGCTATTTTACAACAAAACTAGTGTAAGAACTTGTATCCATTAAGTTTCTTTTGTATACCTTTCAATAAAGTAAATAATATGACAGAGAACTATTGGCCGTTTATGAAGCTATCAAGCACTCCAGACATTTAATTGAATACAAGAATTTCACAATAATTACAGATATATTGATACATTCATTTAACAAAAAACCTGAATCGGTAACTCCAATTCGTTCATTTTGGCTTTCTTACAATAGCCAATTTACTACCGAAGCTAGCTATGAACCGGGGAAAGATAATGTTATGGCTGACACTCTTTCTAGAATCTAAGAAATGCAGACTCCGGATGATTTCATCGCATTGTCTCTGGCACAAGATAAAGATGAATAAATAAACAAAAAAAAAAAATCTGTTTTTCAAACAAGTGGAAATTACTGGATCAGATAAGTCGTTCCCTTGTAAAATGATGACAGGTGAGGAAAGAATTTATCTCATTAGTTTCGACAGAAAGCTTTCAAGAAAATACAATCTTAGCCACACAGAGATAGAAATAATAAGAAAGTTGGTATCGCAGAGATTCTTCTGGCCTAATATCAACAAGTACGTCAATGAATTGGCCAAGAGTTGCATTGCCTGTCAGAAATCAAAAATACATAGGCACACTAAAACACCTCTAGGATAAGGTTTCAGCACATGTTTCGAGATTTAACACGACCTCTACCACTATCCAAAGGATTCACCAATTGTCTAACAATGATAGACCGCCTTACTCGTTGGACTGAAGTCTTATCTCTACAGGACAAAATTGCCAGTTGATATGTCGTTTTGGTGTACGAACTAGAATAACGATTGACCGTCCGTTTAAATCAAACATCTTCAGGCAGCACAAGATACTCCTTGTATCCTAGTGGACAAAGATATTACCTACAGTTTTATTGGGTCTTCGCACAAGTCTACGGGACGACACATCTTAATGCATCGCAGAAGCTCTTTACGGATGTCCTATCCGTCTTCCTAGAGAATTCTTAGAACCGAACATTTACCACAGGCTGCACTACAAGAATGAAGAAAAATATCCAACCTTCGGCCATCTCAATGTAGGTTATTAGAGTTATCAAAAGGTATCGACAGAGCGTTTACGAATAAAGGTTTAACTACTTCGAGGATGAAGAAACATTTTAAGACAGGATGACCGTAAATGTCAGGCGGATGAGCAACCGTGTCAATTTTGGCCTGCGGGCTAATGGATGAACCTTATGATACTTCAGGGCGGAAACCACAAACGGAGTAATGAGCCTCCAGATTTCATATGTAAGAGTACTAGCGGAAGGATGATCATCCAGACCTTATGATGGGGATCGAGAGAGAAAAGGAGATAGTGAAAGGAGCACAGCGAAATAAAAGGCAATTTGGCATAGAACCAAAAAGCTTATATAAAATGTACGGATTAAAACTACAGGTAAAATCTGATTTTCAGCTCTATTCGCTAGTCTATTAGCTATTTAAAACTTAGCATTAAATATCCAAAACATTTGGTTTTAATTATTTTGCTATATTTTATTTTATTATAATATTGTGATGTATGGAATAGCACATTCAAAACGGACAATATATGTGTCCGGTAATTGAAGAGAGTTATAATTTTATTGCATCACTGGCACCACAGAGAGAAATCTAAAAACTACCAACCTTAAGAATTGATTATTAGAAAGCAAAATGCTTTGTTTCCGAGCTCCAAAAAGGAAACACCCGTGAAATACGAAATACTAAAAAACAGGACGAGATTCTTGGAACTGCTGACTACACGGTGACTATACGAGATAGATAAGACCAAATATAGGCTCATTGTTTTTCATTTGGTAGTGTATTGCTTTTTTAAATGGAAGGGGGGTTGTTTGATGGTGGGTATGACTGATAACATATTTTCAAGAGCTTGGATCTGAAGTCAAGCTGAGGAAGAAAATAATTTATTCTGCTATATCAAGTTCTGCTATATATTGTAGGCTCACGAAATCCTCTTGCGACTTGCCAAGGTTCTATAAAAGTAATTAAGAGCTTCTGTAACTACAATCTTGCCTGCTTGTTGCAATCACCTGTTAATCATTGGTCTTACAAAATGCTGAACATAAGACCCTTCATGGGTTGTAATATTAGCAGTGGTACAGGTATATATATATATATATATTTATATATATTCAATGTTTGTTTGCCAAAGCAATACGGATCGCGAAAGAAAGAGATAGAGAAGTAATGTTTTAAAATCCGGTGATATTAGCTTTGGATAAGCTAAAGATAGATGAGCTAGAAGATGACAGTAAACAAGAAGGCTTCCATCTACCCTAATCATGTTAGTAGTTAACTGACTTAGTATACCTCCACCCACACTAAGGTCTACCGCACAAAGAGCTTACTCCCTTCGGATCTCCTATCATATTTACTTATATCTTCTTTGTGTTTGGATGGGATGCCATTACTTAGCGGTACCTAAAGCCTGTAATAGATTGGCCTTGACAAGAGACTTGTTAAAATCCTTACAAGCCGCGACCCTTTGCTGGCTCATTTAAACTAAATAGGAGTAACGAGTAGAAAAACTACCGTTTTTTTTTTTTCTGAAACCATTTTGAGATAGATGATGACGACTTTGAATTATGCCTTGTCTTGGAAGACATAAGGAGAGAAAACCTAAAAGCCGATACTTGAAGAAGGAAATAAGAGGAGCCAAAAATCCACCATGACCTGGCATAAAATAAATAGAAAATATAAGTAAGAATTTTTTTTTTATTTATTCATGATATTTACAACTGTATTAAAAAATTAAATACATTAAGTAAATTTGATAACTGAAAATAATAACATGAAATGACTTGTTGAGAAAATACCCACTGGTAGCACACTAAAAGTAAGAATTAATTTTCAAAAAAAATAAGCACACTCTATGGAGTCTAAACCACTTACCATTGTCAATACTAAAGCCGGGCGCAATTGATACGCACCTTGGTGAACAGATATCACAATGGAAGGAGGATTAAATACCAAAGATTGGAATTAAATCGGCTTTGAGGAGTGATCCACCGGGTATGAGTGATCCTTTGTGTTCTTAATTTAACATTTTGAAATGAGTTGGATTAATGATTTTTCTTATCGATTCATTGCCAAGTTTGGCCTTATGATTTTTTTATCGATTCATTTCCAAGTTACATATCTGATTTCGATGATGTGGAAGATGGAATTATTAATTCATTACTGCAATAAAAAAATTAAAAAGTAATTACTTGAACAAACGAAAGACCCATGGATAATTTGTCTTAAAACACCAATTGTGACAAATTATAAAAATTATTATAGACTAATCTGAAAACAATTGTTTAAATTAATTTAAAAATTTATAGCTGCTGAAAGTTGTAATCTGTTCAACTCTATGGGATGTGAAGAAATTTTGCTGTATTTTTAAGGTGAGAAATTTATTTATCTGCTGTAAGTCACCTTTTAAATACATGAGAAGTAATAGCGTTTTTTTGTGCAAGAATAAATAATAACTATATAAACATACCGGTTTTCAAACCAATTATTTTGGCAACTTTTTCCTATATTTACGATTTAAATTTAACTTTTAAATATTCACCATGCAAAGTGTCGTACACAATTTTTCTCCTTCTAATTACTTCAATTAATTTGTCCTCCATCATTTACTTTACCTGCGAACCTCAGTTCGCAGCTCACGGAGGGTATGCTTAATCCGGCGTGAGCTCAACCTGGGGCCCAACGTTCGCTGTTCCTTTCGATCCTTCGTTTCACAGAATCTCACCGTGAGTGGAGTTATGTCCGCTCACCAAGCTGCGACTCAAGTTGCGCCCGGACTAAAGAGTGCTCTCGTGCCCTAGTGTTTCACTATTACTTCGGAAAGAGACAATATGATTATCGCTTTGTTATATGATGGTAAAACAATATTCTGGTGCACATCCGAGCCGCACCAAAGTTAAAACCATTTAAAAATTGTTCTGAAAATAAAGTTCCTAATGAATTGTACAAAAAGAGGAATTTATAAAAA